CTGAGGGTGTCCCGGCATGGCGAGGACTCTGAGGGTGTCCCGGCATGGCGGGGGCGCTGAGGGGTGACCCGGCATGGCGGGGGCGCTGAGGGTGTCCTGGCATGGAGGGGGTGCTGAGGGATGTTCTGGCATGGCGGGGGCGCTGAGGGGTGACCCGGCATGGAGGGGGCACTGAGGTGTGTCCTGGCATGGAGGGGACACTGAAGGGTGTCCTGGCATGGAGGGGGTGCTGAGGGGTGACCTGACATGGTGGGGACATTGAGGGGTGTCCTGGCATGGTGGGGACACTGAATGGTGTCCCGGCATGGCGGGGGCGCTGAGGGATGTTCTGGCATGGCGGGGGCGCTGAGGGGTGACATGGTACGGCGCGGGGTCTGAGGGGAGACCTGGCATAGTGGGGACACTGAGGGGTGTCCCGGCATGGAGGGGGTGCTGAGGGTGTCCCGGCATGGAGGGGGTGCTGAGGGGTGACCTGGCATGGTGGGGACACTGAATGGTGTCCTGGCATGGCGGGGGCGCTGAGGGTGTCCCGGCATGGCGGGGACACTGAGGGATGTTCTGGCATGGCGGGGGCGCTGAGGGGTGACCTGGCATGGAGGGGACACTGAGGGGTGACCTGGCATGGAGGGGACACTGAGGGATGTTCTGGCATGGAGGGGGCACTGAGGGTGTCCCGGCATGGCGGGGTGCTGAGGGTGACCTGGCATGGCTGAGGACACTGAGGGATGTCCTGGAATGGCGGGGACACTGAGGGATGTTCTGGCATGGCCGGGGACACTGAGGGATGTCCTGACATGGCAGGATACTGAGGGGTGTCCTGGCACCTGGCATGGCAGGGACACTGAGGGGTGTCCTGGCACCTGGCATGGCAGGGACACTGAGGGGTGACATGGCATGGTAGGGGCACTGAGGGGTGATCTGGCATGGCAGGGACACTGAGGGGTGACCTGGCATGGCCAGAGACACTGAGGGATGTTCTGGCATGGCGGGGGCTCTGAGGGGTGACATGGCATGGTGGGCCCTCTGAGGGGTGTCCTGGCACCTAGCATGCTGGGGACACTGAGCGGTGACCTGGCATGTTGGGGACACTGAGGGGTGACATGGCATGGCGGGCGGTCTGAGGGTTGTCCTGGCATAGCGGGGACACTGAGGAGTGTTTTGTGGTCAGGGGATCATCAGAGCTGGAAGAGATCCTCCGTATTTTCCAGCCCTGCCACTATAATTCTGACCCCACGACACCGCAGCACCCCAAGCCACAGCCCGGTGCTTCTGAGCATCTCCATTGTGGCTGGCCTCTCTTGGCAGCCCGTGCCAATGCCTGCCTGCCCATGTGGCAAATGAGAAATACCTAGAAGTTTCTGAAGAAGGGGTGTTCTTTAATCATGGAATCATAACATATCCTGAGTTGGAAGGGAGCCACAAAGGGTTCCGTCCCCACCGTGCACAGCACAGAGTGCAGCCCCAGGTGCCAGTGTGTGGACATCAGTGGGGACAGGCTGGCACTGGAATGGAAAGGATTTAGGTAAATGACTCTGGCAGAGCTGGGGCTGTTCCCCTGCACAAGAGAAGCTCCAGGGAGAGCTCAGAGCCCCTGCCAGGGCCTCAAGGGGCTCCAGGAGAGCTGCACAGGGACTGGGGACAAGGCAGGCAGGGACAGCACACAGGGAATGGCTCCCACTGCCAAAGGGCAGGCACAGATGGGAGATTGGGAATTGGGAATTGCTGGCTGGGAGGGTGGGCAGGCCCTGGCACAGGGTGCCCAGAGCAGCTGTGGCTGCCCCTGGATCCCTGGGAGTGTCCAAGGCCAGGTTGGATGGGGCTTGGAGCTTCCTGGGACAGTGGAATGTCCCTGCCCATGGCAGGGTGGGACTGGATGAGCTTTAAGGTTCCTCCCAACCCAAACCCTTCTGTGACTCTGTGAAATGGAGCTAATGACAAGAATGGTTTCCCTGTGCCCACAGGTGGTGGAGCAGTGCAGACCCACAGCTCCCAGGTCAGGACTGTCACAGAGACCTCCTGCAGCATGTCCAGCTGATGTCAAGCTCGCAACCTGCCTGGGATGGAGGAAAATGGGAAGTAGAACATTGGCTGTGCATAAGTGATTGCTTCAAGCTCATTGCCCTCAAAGGAGTCTCAGGAAAAAGCTGTTGGTGAAGCTTTGAAGCTCTGGAACACACACACACACATACACTGCCAAGAACTTTGCTTTCTTGCGCATAATCATATTAGCTTGGCTGATAACAAGTTGAAAAAAACTATCCCAGGGAAGAAAGGTCAATGTTTAACCTGGATGTAAAGCTTGTTCTCATCCAATTAAAACCCAGTGCAATTGCTTCTGGTGTCAACAATGGGATCTTTGCACAGTCAAACACAGCAGTTTGGTACACAGGATTTACACACTGGAGTATGTGTTATACCACCATGATAGTGCTTGAAATAGAATGGAATCTTTTTAGTTTATTTCAGTAGAGAGTTAATGCTGGCATACCGTTGTGACGTTTTGAGTTGTGACATCTTTGAGAGGTTTGTGAAAGGGAAACAACTTCACATCACTTTCCCCCTGAAAACTTGTATTTGAGTGGAGGGAGGGCTGAATTTCCTGATATTTTGTAGTTCTGCCTAGGGTTTTATGGTGTGCCTAATGGGAAATGTTACCTTAGTCTTAAGATCTACATACAAAACCAGCAATCAGCTTTATGTGTAATAGACAGTGTACAAATGTGCAGCAGTGCCATCTGTTTGAAATCCAAAAATAAACAGGGGTGTGTGGATTCTCTAAAGCCCCTATTCTTCTGTAAGTCCTTCCACCAGCTCTGAGAACATTTCCTCCTAAAAAAGCTGGGTTTATTCCAAAGACATTGCAGATGGCCTGTGACTTTGAGTTTATTTTACATTAATGTTTGATGAAAAAACAGATTGTCCTTAACCTAGGTGTCTAAGAGGACCCTGGTCACTGGCTTTCCTCACTGGGAATGTATATGGGATATAGGCTATATGGAGGATATGGTCTGTTCTGGATCGGCTGGACTGGATTCTTCTTCCTGAAAACTCTCTGTAAGGAATGGCCCATTGTTGAGGATTTTTGCAGGACAATGGACACAGTCAGCAAATGCACAATCCAGCCTTCTGATAACAAACTCACCTGTTCAAGAAACGGGGTCAGTGAATCCTTGACCACAGGGAAAGAAGTCAGAAGAGTCAGCAAAAGTTGTCAGCGAAATTTAAGAAATAAAAAAAGAGAACTCAGAGTGGGCCAGAGGACCAAAGCAAGACATACGAAGAATCGGGTGATCCAATCAGCATTTAATTTTAGATGCATGGGCAGTTAGGATTATCCAATCAGGTATTAGCTAGAGACTCGTGCGCAGCAGAACGTATTATCAATATCGGCTTCTGTACAATAAAACTGGCTTCACTTGATCATATTGATCATAGTGTGATGTCCCATTTGTGATCCTCTAAAGCACATTTTTTTGGTGACCCAAACAACATGATAGCAACCAAGGGACCCAAAGACAGCAACTTGGCTGCTGTGCAGAGGATCAGCGACAAGTGTTCAGGAAGTGGGGAAGCCAGTTGAAAGTATCCTCGCTGCCCTGGCGAGGGGAAAAGGGAGTTCAAGTGTGCCGTGCTCTGTGTGAAGACTACTTGAATCTTGTTCTGATCAAGTGAGTAGCTGGGGAGGAGATGGGGTCAGACCACGAGAGAGATGGGGTCCACGAACTCCTCCAACATATCCTCTCTAAGAGAGAACAAAAATATGAGGCTTCCACTCTGAACGGACATATTCACTGAGAGATGGGGTCCACGAACTCCTCCAACATATCCTCTCTAAGAGAGAACAAAAATATGAGGCTTCCACTCTGAACGGACATATTCACTGGGCTTGGGACTGTATCCTCATAGCAGGAGCGCAGGTCGCCTTTGAGATTTCAACATGCGAAGCTGTGGGGCAAATGTTGTGGGACTGTGTTGTGTCTGGAGGTGGTGAAGTAAAAGAGGCTTCTAAGTATGCTACTTTGTGGAAAACTATCATAGAGGTGCTGTGGGCTATGAAGGTAGAGAGAAAGGCTACAGCAGCAGCTTGTGCAGCTATTGCTTCTGATTTAAACCCAAAGCCTCAAGCATTTCAAGTCAGTTCAGTCCAGCAACTGTTCTCTATTACCTTAGATACTCCCTTGTGCAGTCCACAACCCCTCAGCTCAGTCTCCACTCCCGAATCAGGCATTATACCAACTGTGCCCCCAGTTCAGATGGAGAATGAGGGAGCCAGTGCCTCCCACAGAGGCTTGGACTGTAAATCAAGTGAAAATTATATTCAAAGCAAAGAAACAGCCGGTGGCAGTAACTTAGAAGAAAAACATACATTGGGTAAAAAAAGATGAGGATGGTGATGTTGTGATGAGTGGTGCTTCTCTTGATGAGGATTTGAACTCCTTGGTTGACAATTTACAAAAATTAGTGATTCAACAAAAAGACTCAGCTGTCCCCAAAAGGGATTATTCTTTTGAGAAAAGGGATCTACCAATGGTAGTCGGCTCAGACAGGCAAAAAGGAAGGCGAATACCACCCTCACATTCTGTTGCTGGGACAGGGCTGGAGCCGGTTAGAAAAATGCCACCCTCTTACTGTGTTGTGGATGAGGAGTTAGAGCTGGAATGCAGCCCAGAAATAGAAGCAGCTCAGAAACTGAAATGGAGAGGAATTATAACTGAAGCCATTGTGGAAGGGACTTTCCTCTCGAATGATATTGAAGCATTCCCTGTGGTTACTAATCCTACCTGGGATCACACCTGGGAGCCATTTGATTGGAAGACTTTAGAGAAATTGAAGGATTCTATTTCAGAATATGGCTTAAAATCTCAAATTGCACAGTCACTTCTGCAAAATATTTTTACCTCTAACGCATTAATTCCAGCCAATGTTCAAACGCTAGTAAGACTGATAATGCCCCTCAACCAACAAGTTCAGTTTCATAAAAGTTGGGAGGCAAAATGCATTCAAGAGGCAGCAAAACCTCAAGCTCAGGGAGACCCTCTGTATGGCTTAACAGCACAACAATTGCATGGTAAGGGACCCTGGGCTACTGGAACTACCCGAGCCAGAAGTATTGATTAAGTCATCATATGAGCCAACAATTAGCATATGCTGCCATCCTCACACTCCCAGATGGGTTACGCACTAAGTCTTTTATACAAATTCGTCAAGGACGAAATGAGGACTTTGATAAATTTGTAGATTGATTACATTAAGCTATTTGTGATCATCCTGATCTTGATTCAGATACAAACATACAATAATTTAATATGCTGGCTTTTCATAATGCAAATGATAAAACTCGGCAGATTTTAGGTACCTTAAAAATGGGAGCAGATGTTGTGGAAATGTTGGAGCTGATGGCTAGAACTACATAAAGACAGAAAGCAGCTTATGTAGCAGCTACTGTACAGGGTGCAGTAAAACCATTGCTTTTTAAACTGCAAAAGAAAGCAGAAGGCAAGAACATTAAATGCTTTGGGTGTGGAAAAATTGGACATATTAGGAGTCAGTGCCACTGTGTAACAATTAAAAAGTTTTGTTCCATGTGCAGAAAAGATAACCGCAATACCAAAGAATGTCAGTTCCAGGGAAACAGACAGCAGAGTGCAGCCCTGCATGCCAAGACACAAGCTCGGGGAGTTGCATGGATAGCTCAGTATCTAGTGGAGGACTTTACTCACTCCAGTCAGCAACCTCTGGAACACCAGAGTGGATGTGGAAACCACAGTAGTGTCACCATCACAGGATCTACTGTGTACCTGATAGAGACAAATGTGAAGGAACCCCTGGGGAATGGGCTTAGTGCCTTCCTGTTAGGGAGATCATCTGCTAGCAAAAAAGGACTGGATATAATTCCTGGGTTTATTGATGCAGACTATCAGGGGGTTGTCAAAATTATAGTTAGGACATTTTTCCCTCCTGTATTTATTCCCAAAGGCTCACAAATTGCTCAGCTTGTTCACTTTAAGTCTTGTGTCCACTGTACAGGCCTCAAGGAGCAGGGGACAGGCGACTTTGGCTCTACAGGTAAGCCGGAATTATATTGGGCCATGGACATCACCGGAGGTAAACGGGTAACCTTGACTCATCCCAATGGTAATTCTATCACTAAGAGGCTCACAACTGATACCGGAGCAGATGTAACCATCATTTCAAACACAATATGGCCTAAAAATTGGCCAGTGATCAATTCTGTTTTAGGCATTGCAAGAATTGGAGGGTGACCATTATGCTAAGCATCATTTTGCCTTAATTTGTCAGTGGACACAGACTTTGGCTAACCCTTTAACTATTTTAGAATGGGTATTTTTACCTGTGAAACAGCCTAGAACTATTACCACTCACTTAGAACTATTTGCTCAATCATGAAAGGCTGAGGAAGGGTCTTAGAAATCTGGGGTCAGGAACCATATGCAATTGCAGTGCCATTGACTAATTGGTATCTTGAATGGGGAACTAGGCATTCTGTTCCTTTACAGAGAGCTTTGGCTGATTATGATGGTAAAATTCACAATACGTATCCATGACATCAGGTGTTATCTTTATTGGAACATCAGCGTCTGGAGGACAGACCATGGAGATATGAGAGCCCAGTGTCTGGGCTGACAGTGTTTACTGATGCAGGTAAAAGGGCAAAAAGGGCTGCCTGCACATGGCAGCAAATCAAATTATGGAAACAGGACGTCATGTTTGGAGAGGCAAAAGATACGTAGCAAACGTTGGAATTGAAAGCTGTCATTTGGGTTTTTGAAAATTGGAATGATGAGGCCATTAACATTGTTTCTGATTTGCTTTATGTAGTCAGCTCTGTACATTAAGGAGGTGCGTAATAGACACTTGTATTCCCTTCTGAGCCCACCGCTCAGAACCTTAAATCAACGTTGGCAGGAATACTTTATTACTCATGTTCGTGGTCATCAAAATCTCCCTGGTTTGTCTGAAGGTAATGCTCGAGCTGATCAATTAGTAGCTGCTGTCTGGCCAATGTCAACCTCTGATAAATTTCAACAAGCATGCCTTTTTACATCAATCTGCAAAAATGTTGGTTAAGCAATCTGGTGTTCCCCTTACTGATGCCACTGGCACCCTATGATCCTGTCCAGATTGCCAAAAGGATGTCATTGGCTTAGGCACTGGTGTTAACCCAAGAGGTATTCAGCCTTTGCAATTATGGCAAACGGATGTAACCCATGTAGCAGAATTTGGTCAGAAGAAATTTGTACATGTTTGTATAGATACTTTCTCTTGTGTTATATGGGCTACCCCTTTAACGGGTGAAACAGCACGTCATATTGAGAAGAATTTGTACAATTGTTGTGCAATATTGGGAGTCCCCTTAGCCCTTAAAACTGATAATGGTCCATCTTACTGTTCTTTACAATTCAAGTGTTTTTGTAATCTGTGGGGCATTCAACATGACACTAGTATTCCATACAACCCTACAGGTCAGGCAATTATTGAGCACGCCCATCAGACACTCAAGGGCATGCTGCAAAAACAAAAAGTGGGAATTATAGGGTAATCTCCAGAAGAAAGAACAGCTAAAGCCATCTTTATGCTTAATTACCTCAGAACAACAGGAGATAGGGATGAACCACCTATTCTTGTGCACCATGCCCTCACACGTAGGCCAAGTGAGGGAATTGCCTGATGGTATTCAAGTCATGTTCAAAAGCCCAGAAATGGGGATGTGGGATGGACCGGCTACAGTGAAACTAATAGGGAGAGGTTATATGTGCTTGCTTACAGATAAAGGTATTCACTGGGTGCCAGCCAAGTGGGTAAAGCCCTACTTGAAAACACAGACATCAGCCCGTGCTATCCCCAGAGGCAGAACATTGGCAGTCACACCGAATCCGGACACATCTGGATCCACTCCTCCAATACCTGACAGCTGACCAGTGCTCAGATGTTTTCCCATGGCTGCTGGAGATTGCAGGAGCAGGACGGATACCTGGACCTAGAGTATCTGTAACTGGAACTGTAGCTTTACCACCACTTCCATCACAGATTGTAAGTCAGATTGAAAACACTTGTCCTGTGCATGGCTGTATGTAAGCAATGAGTTCGGGTTCATTGTATAAATTGTAATTTGAAATCTTGGCAGCAAATTCGTCAAGAAAAAATCTAATCTTGGCTCAAAAGAAAAAGCAGAAATTTAGTTCCACTAACTTAGCATGCAATAGATGCTTTAACATACTTAACATACTTACCCCAGAAAATGCACTTTCCATATTTTTAGGGACTAATCATCAAAGACGGCCTCCTCCTGTCCCTTTGGAGGGAACATTTTTACAACAGTGGAATTTTACACAGGATTTATCTTTGACAGAAACACAAGATCAAAGAGGGCTGCTTTGGATTCAATTGCACTTGGCCAAACAAGCCA